CAAAGAGTTACTGCAGGTGGTGACGGTTGTGGGCAGGAAGGATCTTTTGTAGCAGTCTCTAATGCAGCGAACTTGAAGAAGCCTCTGACTGGAGACACTCAGTTTTTCTAAGACAGTCTCATGACGGTCAAGGTTGTCCATCGTTTTCTTGATTTTACATGAAGTGAAGACTGAACTTTTTGGGTTGCCTGCAAAATGCTTGCACTTCACATCACTCTGACCACACTATCGCCATGGCGACAGTGGATGCCAGTGAGATATTTCGCAAGGAAGGAGAGAGACAAACTGCTGTTTGTCGGCGTGCTCAGCTGTTAGAAGACTTGCATCTGTAATTATGGACACAGCGAGAGAAAGATTTTTATTTGAACACTGAACATCTGTTGTAATAAAACAAAGTATTGAAAAGCTTAAGGCATACGATAGCAAACATAAATCCACTTGGACGTCTGAATGTAGATGATTATTTAGGAACTGAATTCTTTCATTATTACAGAGTATTTTCCTTGCAAACTGGGACAGAACCCATCCAGGTGTTTGGTGTGTGAAGCCTCAGATGTTGTTTTAACTCCACAGCTGCTGCAGTTCGTTTCTTCACATTTTAGTCACAGTCGGGTGTGAAGGGTTTAAATAAAGCCCGGGCTGGCCGTTCTTCTGTCCTCAGCATTAAGACTGACACACCGGCCCCACATCAATATCGCCTTCCTTCATTGCAGTTACCATGGTGATTAGTCGGGCAGGTCTGATGTTTTATTTTTATTTTTTTCCCCTTAGTATCGCCCGGTTCACCTCCAGCATGCGGCATGAAGAGTGTTGGCTTGCTGAAAGGGCAGTAATAAAGCTGTCACAGTAACATATGTGGCTGATGTGAAACTCTGAGGACCAGACCAGCTTTCCTCAGGTCGGTTTACTTCCTCAAGCACCAAAACGCTGAACGGTGTGAGTGAAGCCATTGCTCATAAGAAAGCAGCAGGGCTCTACCAGGACACGACTCTGAGGTCCTCTCCTCATGTATATCTGATGGAGAACAAGGCATGTTGCTCTGGCTCCGTTTGTCCGATACATTATTCATACATCAACATCACCTGCAATGCAGAGCATCCTTGGAGCGAGGACGAAAGAGAGGAGATGGAATGAGGACAACGGCGGGGACGGGCGGGTTTGGGGGAAGGGGTGTATGGATGGATGAGAGGTGGGAAAGCACAGAGGAGCAGCTCAGCAATTTATAGAAAGGCTCATTTTTCTTGTGTTGTGCGCCCCCCGTACAGGCTGGGTTATTAGAGCAACACATTTAGCCCCACTGCCCCCCCGAGTCAGGCGGGGAATGAAGCCGGGTGGAGGAGGCCTCTCTGCAATTGCTTATTGCCGTTACCATGTCCCAAGGCGTTGCACAAGTTGCTCTTGATGAGCTCTTGCTCTTCTTTGATTTCTTCCCTCCCTCCCTCCCTCCCTCCCTCCGTCTCCGTCTCTTAATGTCTTTACGAACGCCTCCCCCTATTCTTCTTCCTCCCAGCCTCCTACCTTTCATCTCGTTTTTCCACATTTGTCTCCCGACTTCAAGCTGCTGTCTTTCCTCCTTTAGGGTATCCGCAGCTTTCAGCAAGTCAAATTTAAGACTTTTCAAGAGCTTTTTAATGCAGCAGTTGGAGGATCTTGCTGTATTATAATTTAGCCTCGAGAAAATGTGAAATTTCTGGGGTCTGTTTGTGTCGTCCACTTTTGTCGTTGCTATTGCCATGTGTTCGGTTTCACTCTGAGTGACAGTGACTTTCGTCTCTCACTTTCCTTTTGTCTTTTCCATCTTTTATCTTGCCTCTCTTCTCCTTTTTGTATTACTGATTATTCTGACATGGAAACAGCTGCCTGTCTTTTAACACAAACAG